GTCAGATTTGGGGAAAGTGACACATTCGAGAACTTTGCCTTGTCTGTTCATTCTCTAGTGGGAATGCTGAAATCCCTTGAAGGAGAAAATGGGTATGAACTCCGATGTGGCTCTCATGTTCATCGCCTTCTGGGAAAGTTACCACCTTCAGCTGGCGATAGTTTCATTGAGTACTGCATCAACAAGAACATCCTCAGTACTGATAAAGATCAGAGATACACCCTTGTTCACTTCTCCGACTGGTTGAGAATGAAAGCACTGGCGACAAGGATCGCACACCAAGCTGTTGCTGTGTATAGACCTGAAACTCAAACTGATCAGCAAAGGATAATTCTCACCCTTCACAGAAGCGAAATCCTCCAACTGCAGTATTCTCAACCAAGATTGAACAGTCCAAACATTCAACACAGGCTGCTAAACCTAAGTCATTTGCTGGTATCACAGGGTTTTGTGCATACTCCAACAGTGGTGAACATCATGTCAGCAACTGTGTCGACTTCAAGAAACTGTCAACAGAAGAAGTTATCGCCTGGATAAAGGATAAGAGGCGATGTTGGCAATGTGGTCGTGCACACAAGATGGCACAGTGTAACCTGGAGAAGACCTGTCTATCTTGTCGGAAACTACATTTGACAATCCTGCATGATGACACCAAGAAAGGGGGAGCTCAGATTCATTCAATAGTCCTTAAGGAACAGTCACTATACCTTGATCATCCAACACGCCCTGACAGTATAATGTTGAAGGTTATTCCTGTACTACTTCATGGCCCTGAAGGAGCCATTGAAAGCTATGCTGTTTTAGATGTTGGTTCGATGAGGACAATGATACTGACCTCTGTGGTGAAGCAGTTGAACCTTCCGAAGACGCCAGATAATATCATGCTCACGACAATTCATGAAGGACCTGCCTCGAGTCTTATGCCCAGAAGGCGGAGGCTCATGGGCCAATCTAGTATGTTACACTACTGGAGTATATCTATCCTGTAACCTCTTGGTGTTAGTCTGATGGAGATCCACTGACTTTTAACATCGCCAGTATAGGCGCTCCGTGGTGGGCTGGGAACAGGATTGATGAAACTTATTCTCTCAACCATGGCACCCAAAACAAATTCTAAAAAGGTGAAAAGAACACATTCTGATTCAGAAAGTGAACTTGACTCCTCGGATGAAGAAAAAGTCGGTCGATTGTGTTATTCAGAGAGAGACACTTGGCCCAAGTTCATTGTGCTTGAGGCCACTGAAGAACGTAAATTAGTGAGTGAGTGAGTATGGTTTTACGCCGCTTTTAGCAATATTCCAGCAATATCACGGTGGGGGACACCAGAAATGGGTTTCACACATTGTACCCATGTCGGGAATTGAACCCGGGTCTTCGGCGTGAAGAGCGAACGCTTTAACCACTAGGCTACCCGACCGCCCCAGAAGGCAAATTAACATCTTACTCACCCTTTCTACTTGGTTTAAAAGGTAAAGTTGGTGAAGTCACTATATGTAAAGAAACTGAAATTTGGCTCTCTTCTAGTGGAATGCAAATCTTGTAAACAAGCTGCTACCCTTCTTGAATCCACTAAACTGGCAGATAGTAGGATCAAAAGTTACGCTCATAAATCGCTCAACTTCTGCAAAGGGATCATCCGCGACTGTGATCGAATTTTAAATGACCTATCAGTTGATGACATTGTTTCTGAGCTCAGAGATCAGGGCGTTATTGAAGCAAAACGTTTCATGTTCAAGAAAGATGGGAAAATTCGCCTTCAAACACTTACCTCTTGACGTTTGATGCACCTAAACTGCCAGAACGTTTAAAGGTAGGTTGCTTTGCTATGAGGATTGATTTGTTCATACCACGTCCCATCCGCTGCTTCAAATGCCAAAAATGTTGGTCATGGTCAAATTTCATGCAGAAATCATGTTGTATGTTATTGCTGTGGAGATCGAGACCATGAAGGCTCTGCTTGTGATGCTATTATCAAATGTCCTAACTGCCAGGAAGCTCATATGGCATCTTCCCTTGAATGCCCTGTGTTTAAATTTGAGTCAGCAGTGCAAGTCAGAACAAAATCTTGGCTACGTTGATGCAAGGAAGATAGTAAGTGGCAATTCTCCTGCAGGACCAACGACAAAAACTTATGCATCAGCTCTAAAACCTACAAAAAATTCTGTTATGTGTCAAACAGACTGTACATGGGTCAAGGCAGACATTCCTGCATATCTTTCTTTGAACACAGATCAATCTAACAATGTATCTTCGGTTTCTGTTCAAACATCCCCTACAAATGTCCAAACACAGCAACAAACAGAAATATCACCAATAGAAGGTATACCCAAACCAGAAGTAACACGAGTGTAAGATAAAGGGTTAACTGTGACATCATACACATGAATGTAATTGATGACGTAACATGCATGTACCACACCGGATGACGTAGTAAACTATTCTATGAACCCGCCATGCTTGTTGTTCAATATATATCATGGTGTCAGAAGTGAACACAGAAAACTGGGCCGAATGGAGCAGTTACGAGCACCAAATTAACTGAGTTTTGAAGGCAATCTTGCCGAGAACTGGAAACGATGGCTTCCAAGGTTTGAGTTTTACCTAACTGCCAGCGGAATCGCTGCGAAGTCAGAGGCCGTGAAGTGTGCGACCTTGCTACACGTGGCGGGAGAATCAGCCGTGCAGGTATTCAATTCGTTTGAATGGGCGAATGAAGGTGATGATAAAAAGTTTGACAGAGTTAAACAGAAGTTTCAACAATATTGTCAACCGAAGAAAAACTTGATTATAGAAAGACATGCATTCTTCACGAGATCACAGAAAATCAGGGAAAATATAGACCAGTTTGTGACAAATTTGAAAAACAAAGCTAAAAACTGTGAGTTTGATGACTTAACCGAAGGGTTAATTAAAGACAGAATTGTCTGTGGTGTACAAGTGACAGTATGAGGATGCGCTTATTGAGAGAACCTGACCTAACTTTGACTCGTACAGTTGACCTGTGCAGGGCGACTGAGGCAAGTGCACAACAATTAAAAGTACTGAGTGAAGAACAAACAGGGAGTCAAAACGTTCATGCCATTTATGCACGAGGCCCTGCACGAGGAGGCACACGTGAGACATGGAAGGACAAAAAGCAAAGAGGACATTATGAAGACAGGCGAAATGCAGAGTTTCCAAGATGTAGGGCATGTGGCTATAATCACATGAAGGATAAATGCCCAGCTGCAGGAAGAATTTGTGACAAATGCGGTGGCAGACACCATTTTGCAAGTATGTGCAAAGCAAGACAGCCTATGTCAGATAGACAAGACCGCCCTGACAACAAAAACAGACATGTACATGTTGTGGAGAATTCAGAGTCTGAAATTGAGGATTTTGACCAACTATTCATATGAATGCTGGAGTCAGATTGTGATAATGAGGACTGGAAAGAAACTCTGATAATAAACAAGAAACAGGTAGAGTTCAAGCTTGATACAGGGGCACAGTGTAATGGCATCTCCAAACGAGTGTATGACAGTTTGAAACTAGTAGATGAACAGTTGTCAGAATCTCAAACAAGACTAGTTTCGTATTTTGGATATAAGACGGCCCCACTTGGACAATCAAAGCTAGAGTGCACACACAAGGGAATTGGTTACAAGATACTGTTCCAAGTTGTCAAAGACGACAGACCTAGCATTCTGGGAAAGAAAACATGTACAGAAATTAACTTGGTGCAACGCATACATGCAGTTGAGAGATCTGTGTTACCAAGTCCAGAGGTGAATAAAGATATTCTGGGAGAATTTCCAGAACTATTCAATGGACTGGGTTGTGTGCCTGGAGAACATCACATTGAACTTTTGGATGATGTTACACCTGTTGTACTTCACCAAGAAAAGTGCCAGCAGCAATAATGGGTAAAGTAAAAACTGAATGGAGAAGCTTGGTGTCGTTGTCAAACAGACAGAACCAACCAGCTGGGTAAACAGCATGTTTACTGTAGTCAAACCACACAAGACACACATATGTATAGATCCTAAAGATCTAAACAGGGCTGTGAAAAGAGAACACTATCCCATGAGAACTGTTGAAGAAATCATGTCACGCTTACCTGGTGCTAAAGTATTCACTGTTCTGGATGCTGAGTCCAGGTTCTGGCAGATCAAATTGGATCAAGAAAGCTCCAAACTGTGCACCTTCAACACACCATATGGTAGGTATCGCTTCACAAGACTACCTTTCGGAGTTAAATCAGCTCCAGAGGTGTTCCAGCGAACAATGTCTCAGCTACTAGAGGGCATTAATGGTGCAGAATGCATCGTTGATGATGTGCTAGTGTGGGGTATAGATGTACCGCAACATAATGAGAGACTGTATGCAGTCCTGAATAGGATACAGTCAAGTGGTCTGAAACGTAACAGATCAAAGTGCAAGTTAAGAATGACAGAAGTGTCATATGTTGGACATCTTCTGACAAAAGATGGACCAAACCCTGAAAAGGTGAAGGCTATTAGAGAAATGGCAGAGCCGGAAAACAAACATGACTTGATGAGATTCCTGGGCATGATTCAGTACCTAGGAAAATTCATAGCAAATCTCTCCAGTGAAACTGCGCCTCTGAGGGAGTTGATGTCAAAAGACATTGCATGGCACTGGGAAGAACCCCAGAGAAAATGCTTCAAGAATTTGAAGAAACAAGTGACAGACACTCCGGTACTTCAGTACTTCGATGTCACTCAACCAGTAACATCGTCAGTTGAAACCAGTTCCGAAGGACTAGGAGCAATGCTCATATACAAGCTGAAAAGACAGTTGCGTTTGCATCACGATCACTAACAAGTGCACAGAAGAGATATGCACAGATCGAGAAGGAGATGCTGGGAATCCCGAATGGGTGTGAGAAATTCCATCAATATATATGTGGAAAACCTGTCCTTGTAGAAACAGACCACAAGCCCCTTGAAGCAATCTTTCGAAAACCATTGTGCCAGGCTCCACAAAGATTGCAGAGAATGTGGCTCCATCTGCAGAAATATGATCTACAGGTTACTTACCGTCCAGGTAAAGAACTTATCGTTGCTGATGCTCTAAGCAGAGCATACCTCCCAGCTAATGACAATTGGTTCGATGAGACAGAGTTTGATGTGAACTTTATATCACAGCTACCGTTTACTTCATCTAGGGTGGAGACATTCAAGTTGGCCACAGCAGATGACCCACAACTACAGCAATTGAAATCTGTCATTCTCATTGGTTGGTCGTCGGACAGGAAAGATGTTCCAGCTTGTGTACAAGACTTCTGGAATATTCGTGATGAACTGACTGTAGTTGGGGATCTGGTCTTCAAGGGAAACAAACTAGTTGTTCCAAGGGCACTGCAAGCAGAAATGCTACAGAAAATTCATGAAGCACACCTGGGAATAACAAAATGCAAGCAACGAGAAAGAGATGTACTCTTCTGGATTGGAATGAACAAACATATAGAAGATTTTGTATCACAGTGTACAATCTGCAATGAAAAAAAGAGCAACACAAAGGAGCCATTGAAAAGCCATGACATACCAGAAAGACCATGGGCTAAAGTTGGTGCAGACTTGTTTGTATACAAAAACAGTGACTACCTGTTGTGTGTGGACTACTTTTCAAAGTACCCAGAAATTGTGAAACTAACTGACTTGTCAAGCAGAACTACTATCACAGCACTGAAGTCAGTCTATGCTAGACACGGAATACCAGATGAAATCATGACAGACAATGGTCCACAATTTTCAAGTACTGAGTTTTGCAGATTTTCACAGGCATGGGAATTCACCCACATGACATCAAGCCCAACATATATCCACAATCGAATGGTCAAGCTGAAAGGTCAGTACAGACTGTCAAGATGATGTTGAAAAAGGCAGAGGCAAGTGGAAGAGATGTTTACTTGTCCCTGCTTGAGTACAGAAATACACCTGTGGACAAAGTGAACTTGTCGCCAGCACAGATGCTGATGGGCCGGCGCCTGAAGAGCCGCTTGCCTGTGTCAAAAGCACTCCTCCAACCACAAGCACAAGATCACTCCCTGCTTCAAAGACAACTCGAATACAGGCAAGATCTACAAAAGTACTACTATGACAAAGGGAGCAGAGAGTTGTCTCCCCTGAATCCGGGACACTATGTCAGAGTACAGGAGAAGAGCGGGTGGAATCCTGCTGTTGTGACAGCAGTCGACCCTTCACCAAGATCATACAAGGTGACAACTAACAGTGGCAAAGCATACAGACGAAATAGATGTCACATCAGAACAACAGCGGAAGACTTTGGCAACATGAAGGACAAGCAAGAAATCACTCCAGAGTTAGATGACACTAAAAGTCTGAAACCCAAGACAGTCCAAAAGAAAATGCCATGGAAAACACAAAGCCAGTAACGACCAGTTCTGGTAGACCTGTCAACATTCCCAGAAGATATCAAGATTGAACTGTTTATGTTCTCAGTTACCAGTTCAACATTCTATGTTCATGGACTTTAAAGTGTTAAAATTTAGTTTGTTTCACTTTCTGAAGAGGGGATATGTATGATAAAGGGTTAACCCTATCGTCAACAGTGACGTCATGTTTATAGACACTAAAGTGTTAAATTTCGTTTGTTTTCAATTTCAGAGGAAGGGAGATGTAAGATAAAGGGTTAACTGTGACATCATACACATGTACGTAATTGATGATGTAACACGCATGTACCACACCGGATGACGTAGTAAACTATTCTATGAACCCGCCATGCTTGTTGTTCAATATAAGCAGTACGCCCTTTAATTAAACAAAGGGTTCAAAACAAACCAGAAACGGACAGATGTCCAAAAGGACTACAAGATCCTGTGCAAATTTTCAACCGCTTTGGTCTCCTGGAAGACATGGAAGTGACTCCTGAACCAGGTAAAAGTGGCCTTATACATGGCCACTCTTCAAAAAAGAAAGAGGGTAGAGGTAGATCACCTGTTCACCCTCCATGAATAATAATATTATACAATGGAACTGTCGAGGAATTAGAGCTAATTTTGATGAAATCAAACTTTTAGCTAAAGACTATAACCCTGTCGCATTTAACCTCCAAGAAACATTATTAAGAGATGATCAACTATGTGCTTTACGTCAGTATAACAACTATAGTTCGTTTGCAAGGGTGACGAATGGTAAGGCATCTGGTGGCACAAGTATACTAGTGAAACAGGGAACACTTCATAGCCCTATTACACTAAATACTTCCTTACAGGCTGTTGCAGTGCGTATAACATTGCACATTACAATAACTCTGTGTTCTTTATATATTCCTCCATCATGTGCTCTTCAACTCAGGGATCTGGATAATCTTATTGATCAACTTCCCAAACCATTTTTGGTTATGGGAGACGTGAATGGTCATAATCCCTTATGGGGCTCATCCCATCATAATGATAAAGGAAAAGTACTAGAAGAGTTACTAGATAAGCATAGTCTATGCCTTCTTAATGATGGAAGTAACAGCTACCGCCCTCATGCAACAGGCTCGTACTCAGCTTTGGATTTGTCCATTTCTGACCCATCACTTTTTAATGAATTTTCATGGTCAGTTCATGGTGATTTATGCGGCAGTGATCACTTTCCTACCGTGCTTAAAGTTATATCTCCCTTTGAGGATAGTTCCATTTCCAAATGGCAATTTTCAAAAGCTGATAGGCTATCTTTTAGCTCTTAGTGTAGCACTCATTTGAACGTTGATCATTTCATAAAAGGCCAGGACCAAATGAAACTGTTTTCTGATACCTTATTAAATATTGCCACTGAAACTATCTCTAAGACCTCGGCAACTCCACGTATTAATACACCATGGTATAATGATGATTGCAAAACAGCTAGAGAAAAAAGGAAAAAGGCTGAAAGAGTTTTCAATAAACATCCGACTCAAACTTAAACCAATTAAGGATATCAAGAGCAAAAGCTCGTAGAACGATTAAAAACAATAAACGTAGCAGCTGGAGACATTTTGTTTCCAAATTGAATACCCGTACTCCCCTCAATAAGGTCTGGAATATGGTCAGAAGAATAAAAGGTAGAGGGTCCTCTAGCAGTGTTCAACACTTGAAAACTGATACTGATACACTAACATCCAAAAAGGACATAGCTAATAAGCTTGCAGAGACAATTAGTCAAAATTCATCATCTACCAACTATGACCCCAAATTTCAAACCTACCAAAATCAGCAGGAAGCGAAGATTCTGAATTTCAGATCCGATAATTCTGAAGATTATAACGAATCTTTTTCCTTAAGTGAACCGCAAGAGGCACTACATAAAGCTCATGATACAGCATCTGGACCAGATGATATCCATTATCAATTATTGAAACATCTACCTGAGTCATCTCTTTTAACCCTCTTGTACATTTTCAATAATATTTGAGAATTGGGTAATTTCCCTTCTTCTTGGCATGAGGCTACTGTCATTCCTGTGCCAAAACCAGGCTAGGATCACACGAATCCTTCGAATTACCATCCAATAGCTTTAACAAGTTGCATCTGTAAAACCATGGAACAAATGATCAACAGGTGTCTTGTCTGGTATTTGGAATCTAATAATCTTATAACTGATATTCAGTCTGGTTTCAGACATCAGAGGAGCACCATTGATCATCTCGTTAGATTAGAGTCATTTGTATGCAACGGTTTTATTAATAAACAACATGTTGTATCAATCTTTTTTGATTTAGAAAAGGCGTACGATACAACATAGAAATATGGCATTTTAAGAGATCTCCATAATATGCCTGATTTTATCACACGCTGTTTAGAAGATAGACAATTTAAAGTTTGAGTGGGCTCCACATTATCTGAGGTATATGATCAGGAAATGGGGGTCCCTCAGGAAAGTATATTATCAGTGACACTTTTTAGTATAAAAATAAATAGCCTTGCAAAAGTTTTAAATGATAATATTGATGGTTCATTATTTGTTGATGATTTCAATGTTTCTTGCCATGGGAGAAATATGACTACCATTGAAAGACAATTACAACTTTGTCTCAATAAAATACATAAATGGTCTCTAGAAACTGGTTTTAAGTTCTCTAACACTAAAACTTGTTGTATTCATTTTTGTAATAAACGGAAATTACATAAAGATCCAGAATCGACTTTGAATAAAACTCCAATAAAAGTGGTCAAAGAAACCAAGTTTTGGGGTCTTACCTTTGATAATAAGTTATCTTTTATACCTCATATAAAAGATTTAAGGCTAGATGTCTGAAAGCACTTGATATCCTTAAGGTGGTATCAAGTGCTAAATCGGGTGGAGACCAACAAACTCTGTTACATCTCTATAGAACATTGATTCGGTCCAAACTTGATTATGGCAGTTTCATATATGGTTCAGCCCGTAAATCGTACATTAAAGAGCTTAACACCATTCACCATCAAGGTCTAAAATTGTGTCTGGGGGCATTTAGAACTTCCCCTGCTGAATGTTAATATGTTGAAGCTAATGAACCTTGTCTTGCTATCAGAAAGATAAAACTGGAACTGCAAAACGTAACAAAACTTCATTCCAATCAATCAAATCCGGCATTAAACATTGTTTTTAATCCCCCTTATCAGACTTTGTATGACAAGAAACCTAATTCAATTCCTCCCCTTGGTATCCGTATTCAACAACATATTACATGCGGATCTAAATATTTCTTCCATTGCACCATATAAACTACCTGAAGTGCCACCATGGCAGTCAATACAGCCTAATGTCAATTTGGAGTTAACAAACTTGAAAAAGGCAGATACGAACTCTTTATCATATCAACAAGCATTCCATGAACTTAAACTTCAATATAATGGATACACAAGTATATACACTGATGAATCCCAACATGATGAGAAGGCGTCAGCTGCAGCTGTCACGCATGACGGTATTCTATCAGTACGATTAACTGATGGAAGTTCAATTTTTACAGCAGAGGCTAAGGCTATACTGTTAGCCTTGCAACTAATTGAATGTTCGAAAGAGACCAGCTTTATCATTTTTTCTGATAGTTTATCCTGTTTACAGGAAATCAACAACCGTAAAACTGACCATCCCTTTTTAGTTGAAATTTTGAAATGTCCCTTGAATTTGTCCGTGGCTAATAATGACATCGTCTTTTGTTGGCTCCCCAGTCATGTTGGCATCAGTGGAAATACCAAAGCAGATTCTGTAGCTAAAGCTGCTCTTGGTAAATCGTTCTCGATGGGTATTTTCCCATACACAGACCTAAAACCTGCTATTTGCCAATATGTTGGAAATATGTGGCAACAAAACTGGAATAAGCAAATATTGAATAAGCTTCATGCAATACAGCCCTTGATTGGAAATCATGCACCTACTGGATTAAGTCGTCAAGATGAAGTTGTTATTCGACGATGTCGCATTGGACACAGTCATTTGACTCATGCTTTTTAATTAAAGGGAGAGGACCCTCCTCAATGTATTCCTTGCAATAGTCCTTTGACTATCAAGCACCTTTTGTTGGAATGTGTGGATTTTGCACTTATTTGGCAACGATTTTATACTGTTCAAACTGTTTCTGAACTTTTTAATACCATTTCTAACCACTTAGTTTTAGCATATTTGAAAGAAATTAAACTGTATGACAAGCTGTAGATTTTAGATTTGAATGTCAGTTTTTAACTGTTTACTGTGATAAAGGACTGAAGTTTTAGTGATCTTCGTCATCATTTTTAGATAATGTTGTCTGAAGGTAATTTTGTTTTTCTAGCCGCGAATAGCTGGAACATTGCTGATGCGGCTTAAAGCACCACTTACTCACTCACTCACTCACTCACTCATGAAGGACCTTTCAACTGCAAAGGTCACAGCGTGAACCTTCTGATCTCATCCAGAGACAGACCAGATGTTAGCTGCCCTGAGGCGAAGGCGTTGGAAATCAGAGAATCTATCTCTGTAAGACTACTCGTATCCAGTGGAAGCCCTCAAGATGCACTACCTTCATTTGAGAAATACACCTTTGCCAATGATCGACAAAGCTATCCCTATTATCCTCATGGGTTCTGATCATGCAGATCTCATATTGCCAACCCAACCAATTGTGTTTGATCCGGAACAAGCTCTGTGGCAGTACATACCCAGCTGGACTGGGCCTTCCAGGGACCAAGTCAGCTATTCATGAATCCCAAAGACATGCAATGCCATTTCACAGCAGTTTCCAGTCCAGATCAGGTGATGAACAATGGTGAAAGACTATGGCAAGTTGACATTTTGCCTTTCAATTAGCGAAAAATAACTTGTTCCAAACAGGATCAAGAAGCTATATCCAAACTTGAAGCTAAAACAGTGCGAGTGAAAGTTAGCGATGGTAAGCACTATGCAACACCACTCCTGTGAAAATCGGACCATATTAAGTTTCAGGCAGAAAGTAAGCTGTGATGTCGAACCTGAGACGAACTGAGAAACACCATCCGAATCACCAAGAGCTTGCAAAGATCCACAATGATCAAATTCAGAGACTAGTTGATGCAGGTTTTGTGCTAATCATAAGTGAAGAACAGGGGAGGTTAACCGATGTATCATGATTTATCTCCCATCACCTTGTTGAACACAATGGGGAGCATCGTTTTGTCTTCAATTGCTCTTACGAGTACAAGGGCCAAGATCCCAATAGCCAGCTTCTAGTGGGTCCTACCCTTGGGTCCTCCCTCCAAGGTGTGTTCTTGAGATTTCAACAATACCAAGTTGGAATATCAGGTGATATATAGGGTATGTTTCACCAGATTCAACTCCTACCTGAAGACAAACCCATTCTCAGATTCCTGTGGCGCAATTTGAACAATAATGTGGATCCAGATGTCTAGAATGGCAGGTACTGACCTTCGGGACTTCTTGCAGTCAATGTTGTGTGACCATTGCCCTACTGAAGCCTACATAACCCTGAAGTTATGAAGTGTGTTGGTGAGGCTTTCTACAAAGACAACTGCCTGGATAGTCTGATGAATCCTGGCCAAGCAAAGAAACAAGTTACAAATCAGAAAGGTGCTTGCTGAAGGTGGCTTTGACATCGGTCAGTGGGCTTGCAATGTACCTGAGATACTTGAAGACTTGCCTGCAGAGGCCAAGTCAGATACCTTCTAGCTGTGGGCAAGTCTTAGACATGATGATAAGCAAGAACCTGCTCTTGTATTGCACTGGAAATGTAACACTGATGAACTTAGCTACCACTATCTACCAGTTACGTATGATAAGCTGACAATGAAAGTTGTGTATAAGATCCTTGCCACATAGTATGATCCTATCAGCTACTTGACACTGTTCACGTCAAGAGCCAGAATCTTGGTGCAGGACCTAAGGAGATTGAAACATGAATAGGACGCTGTGATAGAAACTGGAAAACTTGATGATCATTGGTGTAAGTGGGAATCTGAACGGTGTGATATCCCTCAAGTGTGTCTACCAAGATGCTACACATCTAGAAACCATGATCCTTCTCAGTCACAGAAACAACTGCACATATTCTGTGATGCTTCGGAGCGTGCCTATGGTTCAGTTGCCTATTTGAGAAGTGAAGATAGGAACGGTGATATAGCTGTCAGTTTTGTGGCTGCGAGAAGTAGAGTGGCTCCTGAGAAGCTGCTCTCAATGCCCAGACTAGAACTCTCTGCTGCCCTTACTGGTACACAGTTAGCCGCTAAACTTCACAAAGCATCGAGTTTGATGATCCAAGATACCATATTGTGGAGTGACTCAACAAATGTCAGTCAGAGTCCTGTCGGTACAAGGTGTTTGTTGGGACTCGGGTAACTGAGACACAATCCCTGACTCCTGCAGACAGCTGGCGTTATGTGAACACAAAGGATAACCCAGCCGATGTTGTCACAGGAGGTGTAACCTTGCAGGAACTCTATGTTGCCTCCCAATGGAGGAACAGTCCTCTTTTCCTTTTAGAATCCTCTGAGAAACGACCAACACTCACAGACATATGTGATATACCTGATGCTGCTCAGGTAGCAGATGAACTGAAGAAAAGTTACTGTGACAATATCTCAGCTGTGAACCTTCCTGATTGTTCTCAGTACAACAACTGGGAATCACTAGTCAAAGCTCCCATTGAGTGCCTTGATGGGGTGGCCATAAGTGATCAATTTGATGAAGTTGAACTCATAGAGAAAGCGGAAACACTGTTGTTTCAACAAATTCAGCTGGAATGCTTTCCTGATGGAATTGCATCATTACGAGAAGGCAAAGCAATAACCCGTACAAGCAGACTTATAGAACTCAATCCAGAATATGACCCATCTGATGGCATGGTAGGAGTTGGTGGTAGACTCAGACAGGCTGAGGGACTCCCAGAAAATGTCAAACACCCTAAAGTCCTCGACCCTAAACATCCCATAACAAGACTCATCATCAAGGACTTTGATGAAATCTTGCACCATTATGGACCAGAATGCAGCTTCACAGAAGTTCGATGAAAGTTATGGATACTGAGGGGATGGGAAGCAATCAGACACCATCAGAGACTTTGTACAGCATGTCAGCGATCGTGTGCATGTCCTAAGATACCCCAGATGGCAGATCTCCCCCCCCCCCCCCCCATCATGCCTTCGAATGTACAAACCCGCATTCTACTCGACTGGCGTGGATTGTTTTGGAACAATGTGGGTCAAGATTGGCTGCAGAAGATAAAAGCGATGGGGAATAGTCTTCAAGTGTCTCACAACCAGGGCAGTTCACCTGGATCTGCTGGGGGGTATGGCCAGTGATGCTTTCCTCATGTCTTTGAGACGATTCATAGCCTGCAGAGGAAAACCCTATGAAATACTTTCAGACTGTGGTACCAATTTCAAGGGTGGTGACCTTGAGTTGACTGAAGCATTTACCTCAATGAGCCCTGAGATCGCTCAGCAGTTGACCAAGCAGAAGATATGCTTCAAGTAGAATCCACCTTATGCACCTCACTTTGGTGGCTGCTTGGAGAGTGAAATAAAGTCTATTAAACATGGCCTTAGAGTTGTCCTCGGAGATCAGTCAGTGGCTGAGCCAGTCCTGCAAACTGTTCTGATAAGAGTTGAAGCCATAATGAACTCAAAACCTTTAGGTTATGTCCCGACCGATGTGGCTGACCTTGATCATGCGACACCAAACTCCCTCCTTGTTGGGAGGCTTGACCCCGCACTGCCACAGGTAGTGTACCCAGAAGTGGGGCTTTTGGATAGGAAGTGCTGGCGGCACAGTTAGGTGATTACCGATCAGTTTTAGAAGAGATATGTGAGGTACTATTTGCCCCCTCTTCAAATTCGACAAAAATGGAGAACCAGAAGAAGTGACTTGTGTGGTGATGGTATGGTGAAAATCGAAGAGACATTTAGTGCATTCTCATAAAGTCACATCTAGATCAGAAAATAGACGACCAGGTGAACACTCAGGTGAACACAGCAGACGTTCTGATGAAGATTCCAATCAGTCGCGCCCCAGTCATAAAAGCCGCCATTCGGTTCATAGTCACGGAAAGTCTGCAGCCCCCAAAATCAGAAAGAAAGAATGCTCAGCCTTTGGCCATACTTGCACGCTGTGCAGTCGATCCAATCACTTTGATTCTGTGTGCCGCAGCAGAAACAAGCAAAAATTGGAGAAACCCAGTAAAATACCAGAGGAATATGAAGGTGCAATCTTTGATACACTATGTGCAGTCATAAACCTTGGCTGGCATCGTGGTAAAAGAGCCATCACCCTTGCCCACCACCTGTATGACCAACTGTCTTGACACATGGATAAGACAAGCCTCTCGACCCCAGCCTCTTACTCATCTCACTGCAAAAGTTCTTGTGGAAGACTATGAGAAACTGGACTTTGGACACATCTTCACATTTAAACCAAAATCAGCTTCCCTTGCCGTCATGGCTGATACTGGCTGTCAGAGTTGTCAGAGGTATCAAGGTTATGTATCAACTTGGGCTCAGAAAGCATGACCTCATTCCTGTGACAATGAAGATGCATGCTGCGAACTACAAGGGCATCACTATTCTCGGTGCAATCATCATACGACTATCAGGCAAAGACCCTGATGGTACTTCACTATTCTCGGTGCAATCATCATACGACTATCAGGCAAAGACCCTGATGGTACTTCAGTTGAGACTCGCCAGCTTGTATACATTACAGACAACGCTGACAAATTCTTCCTTAGCAGAGAGGCTTTCAATGCTCTCGGCATGATTACCAGAAACTTCCCCATGATCGGTGAAGTTAGAGGAAGCATGAGTGAAGCAGTTGACTACACTGAGGGGATTACGACTAAGGCACACATTGAGAACTGCCTTAGTGTAGAATGTGAGTGTCCAAGACGCAAGTTACCACCCCCCATTCCTACTAAACTGCCCTATCCTGCAACCGAAGCAAACAGAGACAAATTAGAGCAGCACCTTCTTGACCTTTACAAGTCAAGCACATTCAACACTTGTGAGCACCAACCACTCCCCCTAATGGAGGGCCCTCCCATTAAGCTTATGGTTGACCCTGATGCTACACCAGTTGCTTACCACACACCTGTACCAGTTCCTCTCCACTGGCAAGATGATGTCAAAGCTGGCTTGGATCAAGACGTCCGACTAGGTGTGATCGAGCCAGTACCAATAGGTGAACCTGTCACATGGTGCCATAGAATGGTAATGCCAAGAAGAATGGTAAACCAAGACGCACTGTTGACTTTCAAGCTCTTAACGCACATGCAATCAGAGAAACACACCACACACAGTCCCCATTCCACCAAGCCAGATCTGTACCGCATAACAAAAAGAAGACTGTATTTGATGCTTGGAATGGTTACCATAGCGTACCCATTCGGGATGAAGACAAACATCTGACGACATTCATCACACCCTGGGGAAGATACAGATACCTCACTGCCCCCCAAGGATACATTGCATCAGGAGATGGTAACACCCAGCGTTTCGATGAGATTGTTGCTGATGTACCTAACAAAACCAAGTGCGGAGATGATGCACTCCTCTGGGCTGATGACATTACAGAGTGGTAGAAACGGCATCACACTGAACCCTGAGAAGTTTGTCTTTGCTCAGGATAGGTTGAATTGGCAGGCTTTGAGATAACACATTACTGTTCGCTCCAGTAAAAAGTACCTTCAAGCCATCTTAGACTTTCCCACACCGAGAAATATTACAGACATGCGGTCAAGGTTTGGCCTAATCAACCAGGTATCTTATGCCTTCACCATGGCAGAAAGGATGTCACCATACCATCAGCTATTGAAGACTGGGACACCTTTTCGATGGGATGACCACTTAGACATGTTGTTTCAGGAATCAAAGGCAGTCATTGTCAGTGAGATTGAGGAGGGGGTATGAATATTTGACAAACGCAAGCTGACATGCCTTACTACTGGTTAAAAGGTGGAATTGGATTTTGGCTATTCCAAAAACATTGCAAATGCCCCAAGACAGTGCCTTTCTGTTGTCACGATGGTTGGAAAATCACTCTGGTTGGCAGTCGATTCACCCATGCAGCTGAATCCCGCTACGCCCCTGTGGAAGGAGAGGCATTGGCAGTTGCTGATGCACTGGACAAAGCCAGGTACTTCGTTCTCGGCTGTAACGATCTCATCGCTGCGGTCGACCACAAACCACTCCTCAAGCTGTTGGGCGATCGATCCCTTGAACATATCTCCAATGCTCGACTCCGAAACCTAAAGGAAAAAACACTGCGCTGCAAATTCCAGATGGTTCATGTACCAGGTGCAAAACACCGTGCTGCTGATGCTGTGTCCCGCCATCCAACTGGCCACCCTCAGAAAATGGTGTTAATAGATGATGTCGTAGCCATCTGCCATGATGACTACTTGCTTGACCTCCCAGCTTTCTCAAATATCAGTCACATGATCCTAGCCTCAATAAGATGCAGCGAGAAGCCTGATGACAGCATTGAGGACTCAGTTATACACTCAGCCGTGTCGTCGATCAGCTCCCTCCAGTCCATCACCTGGGACAAGGTTCGGGTAGCAACAAGTAGTGACAAGGATATGGTGAAGCTGGGGGAGATGATTGAATCAGGGATGCACGAATACCGCCATGAATTACCAGCAACACTTCGTGAATACCATCAATCGCGTGAACATCTTCATACGGTCGATGGGGTTGTCATATGTACAAGGATCGTATCGTGATTCCCCCTTCACTACGACAGGATGTCCTGACTGCACTCCACTGCGCTCACCAAGGCGTGTCATCGATGATGTCAAGAGCTCAAGCATCTGTCTTCTGGCCTGGAATCACTCCAGCTATCACAGCCCTCAGAAACGATTACAATCACTGCAACCGTATTGCACCCTCCCAACCTTGTGGCCCACCCACGCCACCTGTCTACCCAGTCTACCCATTTTAATGTGTGTGTGCTGACTTTTTTCATCACAAAGGGATCAACTACTTAGTGGTTGTCGACAGATACTCCAACTGGCCTATAGTTGAAAGAACCTCCAGTGGTGCACCTGCCCTGATTGATTATCTACGCCGAACATTTGTCACCTTTGGCATTCCGGATGAGCTATCCTCTGATGGTGGCCCTGAATTCACAGCCTCAGCTACCAGAGAGTTCCTTCGAACATGGGGTGTGCATCATCGCCTATCATCTGTTGCCTTCACACATAGCAATTGTCGAGCAGAGGTCGGTGTCAAGACTGTCAAAAGATTGATTACGAACAACACTGGACCTAATGGGGAACTTGACACTGAGGCCTTCCAACGTGCAATGCTACAATACAGGAACACTCCAGACAGAGACACCAAGTTATCCCCTGCGATGTGTGTCTTCGGTAGACCGGTAAAGGACTTTATACCCATACTACCTGGTTGCTATAAACCACATGACACATGGCGCGATACCCTTTCCATGAGAGAGGATGCTTTGAGAAACCGACGGCTGAACGGCTTACTGAGCACACCAAACAGCTACCACCCCTTGTTGTTGGGAATCTCGACCCAATCCAAAATCAAACAGGCCCTCACCCACTGAAATGGGACAAAACTGGATGTGTCATCGAAGTTCGCCAATTCGACCAGTATGTTGTACGTGTGAATGGCTCAGGCAGAGTGACAGGAAATTCCTCCGCAAATACACTCCTGTATATCCACCCACACAAACAGTCACAGTTGTTGATCATTTGCCAGGCCATATCCATTCAACATCACCAGCTCGTCTCAATGGTACACAATACCGTCCTTTCTTGCAGAAGGCCTCATCCAGGCCCAGCAATGCCAACAGTAATCAGCCTGTTGCCCCCTTGCAGAAGGAATTAAACTTGATGGAACCATCATCCTAAGCTGTGCCAGCAACGACTACTATGAGTCCTTCAGACGTGTCATCGGAACTGCCAAGCTTTTAACACCTGCCGTACCGTCGTTGACAACAACACCAAATACAAGAACGCTACCACCCCCATGTCTTGCAGCAGTGGAGGTTT